ACATGTTTCATCAAACAGAAGTAAATCATATTTAAGGGCCGTTATCGTAAGATGGCACTGTAATAACATCACAAGACAGGACGAGGGTAATAGCACTGAGATAGAAGGACGAGCTGCTGGGGCTCAAGGCTCCCCCAACTTAACCTGCGCCAGGGTGGTGGCCTTATCGTAACACGTTGAGTCGAGAGGTGGGCTTTTCACGCTCCTTCTAACTCGGCTTCTGGGCTACGAGGCGAGAAGCGGAACGACGTTTGAAAGAGCGACAAATGTGATCAGAGAAATCTGGTCATGTTTTAGGCAAGCTCAATAATAATATCACCATAGATCATCAAAAGTCAAATTTCTCTGATTTTAGCGTTCTCCGACAACTTGTCTCACAGTTCATGAACATAACGGAGCTTAAACACTGCAAGAAAAACATTCGATTACCCGTTTAAGGCTCGGTCGCGAATATTTCAGGTGCGAGCTCAAATCAATAAGAGGGTCAAAACGGTCAAATTTGACATTTTGTTTTGTGTGGGAAGGTTGCAACTTCCACGGAATAAGCTTTGCAAAGGGAATGATGGCATTTTTAGCACGATCATCCAGCAAATTTGACCGATGACCTTACCTAGCACTAGGTGACATGCGTCCGAAATTTTAAGGCGTGTTGCAAAATTGTTGTTACAATTACGAAATCTTCCGCTGCGTGCAGCAGTTTTCCCTAAAAACGTACAAACGGCAAACATCCATTATTCTATGTCACAGAATAGGGGTTTGTTGATAACCGTTGACAAATATTTGAGCATCATCGTCTTTCTGACTTTCGGTCGCCGGCCGGGGTAACTTTTTCAAACATTCTCCACCCGTGGTAATGGCCTCACACCAATGTCTCTGACGGCCCCATTACGACGACTGTGAGACTGAGGGCCCTCACTGGTGCTTCTGAGAGCCCACCCGGCCATAAAGACCCCTGCGGTACCAACTGACCTCTGAGGGTCCACACTCCACGCTGACTATATTTTAGCTGAGAAAGACCTCACAGGTCTCGTAAGAGCACCTCATGAGCCCCTAAGTAGCCACACTAAGATCTCAGTCAGGGTCTACGCCGGCTTCTGAGGATCCCATAACGGAGACCGTGAGGGCCCTCAGCTGAGGGCCTCTGAGGGTTCACAACCAGCACCTCTGAGAGACCCACACCAGTGGTTCTAAGGGCCCATAAGGACACCACTGAGGGTCCCCCAAGCCAGTGCCACACCATTTATGCAACCCTATATTGGTGGCTCTGAGGTACCCACACCTGCGCCTGTGAGGGTTCGGCAAAAGCATATCTGACGGCCACCTACCTGCAACTCTGAGAGCCCTACACCAGAGACTGAGGGCCGCACTGGCGTCTCAGAGTACCTTGTCGGTATCTAAGGACCCCACAGGGCTTCTGAAAATGCCGCTGGCCTCTGTGGGCCCCTTGCCGGTCTGAGGTCCCCCTCCCCGGTCGTTGAGGGCCCCCTGCCGACTTCTAAAGGGTTCGCACCAGCAGCTCTAAGGGCCACACACCCACATGTAACGGACCCACACCAGTGTCTCTGAGGGTCCACAACGGCGTCTGTATTCTGTGAGGACCCTCACCGGCGCTTATGAGGGATTCACACTAGCACCTCTGAGGGGCCACACGGGCGTCTGTGAGGACCCCACACCAGTGTCTCTAAAGGCCCCTAATTGGAGGCTCTGAAGGCCCTGCATCGGTGATACTGAGGGTCCTACCAAAGGCACAACACAAGCCATAAGTCTCCTTCTGAGTCCCACACGCCGCCCTCCCACCATAGGCGGTGGAACGGGGAGGGCACCGGGGCACCGTGCCCCCTCTGATTTGGGCATTTTAACATTAGCCCTATGGGCGTTGCATGGAAAGAATGGGACCAAAAGTCGGCAGTGTCCCCCCCCCCCTCCACTTAAGTGAAGGTGTCCGCTACTGCCTCCCACCGGAGCGAGGTAAACCTGTATCAATCAACGACTTTACCACCGTTGTACGTCATAATGTTCTCATCACGCCAAATCAAATACCATCCGGAACCAAAATGGTCCAGTATAAAATCTGACCTACCAAAGTTATGATCAAGTTCAGATAAAATCAAAGTGGGATGACAATAGCAGGTGTTCTTAAATCGATGCCGAATCAGCAGAAACCATTCACATGCAAGAGAAATACCTTTTGCTGATGTTTATATAAAAACAGACATGTAGGTCCATAAAAGGGAGCAGAGATCCTCCATCGTTGCATCAATGTTGAGGGGGCGGCGCCCACTCGGCTCTCAAGTTGGGGGGGGGGGGTAAGCGCCCCCACTGCCCCCCCCCCCTGCTCCCCGGGGTCTATGCAGTGAACGACGCTACAAAAAAAAACATGTGACACCTAATAGCAGGCACTATAAACATGTGCTCGTACGTATCCCGTCAGACCAGGACGGGGATCTGGGGTAGTACTATGCAATATACATTAACACAGAACTATTTCGTGCTTTAAGATGCATAACATCACATTTTCACCAACATTCTGAGTGCCAGACAAGCCAACAGCAAGGCATCATTTCGGTAAAATGCATTTAATGATGATCGTAAACTCACAAAGCATAGCGAGCGTGTTAGTTCAAAACATTGCCGCTAGGGGCGCTGAGGTCGCTAATGCTGAGAGATAGGCCAAAGTGTCGGCGGTCGGCGCCGCATGGGTGTTAATATTTGGGGGAAATAAAACATGTCACACGGTTTCTACGTGTCTGGGGCACGATAAAATCAGTGGAGCACCATGTTTTGCGAAAAAAGTGCCCAAAATGACACACCCTAGTGTACGATGTCGAATACGTACTGAAAAATCGATTTAAAAAAATATATAATACAGTGACATTTTTGCTAATAATGCGTATAACCAGGGGGCGTCGAAGTCTAGTTCCTACCAACCTGGCACTCCCCTGCCTACGTCACCACGAGGACGCCCGAGGGCATTTACGTGTTGAAGATAGGGAAATTGCCGTAGTTTAGAGCCGCCTGAAGGGCAACCTTGAGATAAATGATAATGTAAATGTGTGCTAATATGATCATCAACATGTTATTTATCCAAATCCAGGGCCAATTAATGGATAACTTGTCAGGTTTTCCAGTGGTAATGCGCTAACTTTCGTGGTTCTTGCAGCCAATAAGGGTGTTTCATAGTGCGATTCAGCCACATTATCGACTTTAATGCCATAAACCGCCACGGAACATACGATTTGCAGCTTCCTGGCGTGATATCTGGCAGTAGGGCTCCGGAGTCGAGTCATGAAGTCGGTCGGAATTGACAGTTCTGACCTGAGTCGTCGAGTCAGAGTCAGAGTCGATTTTAAAAGCTGGAATCTGAGTCAGTCACCGAAATTCGATCCCCTCCGCAGACCTTTCAGGGTTCCGTTGTCGGAGTTGTAGTCGGTCGGAGTCGATAGTTCTGACCTGAGTCGTCGAGTCAGAGTCAGAGTCGATTTTAAAAGCTGGAGTCTGAGTCAGTCACCGAAATTCGATCCCCTCCGCAGACCTTTCAGGGTTCCGTAGTCGGAGTTGTAGTCGATCGGAGTCGACAGTTCTGACCAGAGTCAGAGTCAGTCGATTTTGAAAGCCAGAGTCGGAGTCTGAGTCAACAAAAATCCATTGCCTCCGCAGACCTGCTAGGGCTGTGAAGTGTGGAGTCGTAGTCGGTCAGAGCCGATATTTGAAATCAAAGTCAGTTAATTTTTGAAAGTCTGAGTCAGAGTCGGAGTCATCAAGAAACCCATTGACGATCCGCAGTACCATGCAGTAAGGGCGCTGCCGATCGATGCCCTGAATTGCCTATGAATTGAATGAATAGAGGACAATAAATTAGGTAGGTACCTTCTATTATTCATCCGCTATCACTTGGAGGACTTACTTTCAGTAGAAAAAGACGCATTATTGTTTGTTTGTTTATTTATTGACAAATATTTTTGAGCAGTTTATAGGGATACAGACACAAAACACAATGATAGCACCTCGCTGGTGCAAATCAAATGCTAGATAGATGTTGAAATGTGTTGCAATTGAAGAATCTACTGATTTTCCTGGCGGCTCTCATTTTCAAGTAACTACTGGTCTTGTAAGAACTCTTGATTGCTCACCGTCTGGCGTCTTCCAGGGTTTTCTGAAAGTTAATCAAACGTTACCATGGCTGCTCTTGATTTCATGGCGCTTGCTGGTTCTGGGTTCTTTATTGGTGGTTCTTGCGTCTGATCCTGTTGCTTCATGTTCTATCACATCACATTACATTTCTGATCTAATGGAGAGACACTTTTACCTTTTATTTCACTATCAGTCGACTTGCATTTACCCCTGTGGCCTGCTCGCCCTTTTATTTCCACGCTAGAATCTACCAATTATTAAAAAAAGCCTCGGATAAAAAGCAAGAAAAGTATGACAAGTAAAATAATTAAGACGGTCCTAGAACACCAGAAAAAAATTCAAAAAGCCTGTCCGTCTCACTTGGCTCACTTCATAACAAAAACCAGGCAGCAAAACATGCGAAAGAGTCCTTAGCAACGCCCTAGCAACGCAATTTGTCTGAAGTGCGCAATATGTGTCACATCTGGAAAATTTAGTAGCTACTTACTAAACTTACTACTAAAGAACAGCAAAGTGTGATTGATTTTGTATTAGTAAATGATAAATGTTACAAATGGTTTGAAGAAATGAACATAGATGAAGACAGAGAAAAGTTTGATCTCTCAGATCACAATATGATCACTGTGAGCATGAGGCTACCAGATGGTAAGAATCTCAATTTCTCCCAGGGGAAAGAAAAGACAGTAGAATACTACAAGACTGATGAAGAGGCACTGAAAGAGTTTGCAGAGGAAGTATGCAGAAGGGTACAAGATGAAGAGATGCAAACAATGGAGATGTTAAATAGAACTATGCAAAATACTGCAGAAGACAAGCTAAAAGCCAGATATATAAGGAGAGTTATGAACTCACAAGTACAAGTGAAAGAACCTCCATGGATGACAAAAGAAATAAAAAAGAAATCAAGAAAAGAAAAGAAATAAACAGGAAAAAGCGAAATGCCCAATCTCAGGAAGAAGTCGAGGCATTGGAAATAGTGTATCTGAAACAGAAAAGACATGTACAATCCCTGATCAAGGAGCAGATGGGTATACATGAGAAGAAGATAACCAATGAAATAAAATGCAGCACAAACAAAAGCAAAGCTCTATGGAAGAACATTGATAGCCTAAGGAGAAGGGATTTAAAAAAGAATGAGGAAACAAACCTGTTCACCTCAGATGGACAAAAGCTAGGGAAAAAAGCAGAAAAGGAAGAACTTATAAGATATTGGAAGACTGTATACCAAAAGCATGCAAATGATATAAGTCAGATATGGAATGAAGAAAGCAAAAATGAATATATCAGAGCATTAGAGAATGAGGAGCAATCTAGAAATGTCAGAAGACCACTACAAGATCATGAAGAGATGGCCCAAACTGCTACCAGAGGCCTGGAGCCAATGACTGAGCCAATCATAAGTGAAGAAAAAGTTCAGAGATGTGTGCAAAACATGAAAGGCAAGACATCAGCAGGCCCAGATGGACTGAAAACAGAGATGTACAAAGCACTCCTTAAAACAAGGAATGGAGTGAAGATACTAACAAGCTGTCTGAAGAGAGAAGTGGGAGAAAACAGGAAAATGAGTGATTGGAAGACATCAAAGACAAGAATGATAAAGAAGGTGCCACGCCCAACAGCGAAGGATTTAAGGCCCATAGCACTTACAAATGTAGCGTACAAAATGTTCATGACCCTGATGAAGAATGAAATTGAAGAACACTTGAGAGAAAATGATGCTGTAATTGAAACCCAAGCTGGATTCACGAAAGGGGGAAAGATTGAAGACAACCTCTTCATACTGAACTATTGTGTAGAAGAAAGCTACAAAAGAAAGACCCCACTCTATGTTACATCTATCGATTACAGAAAAGCATTCGATTCAGTGAAAAGAAGTGAGATGATAAGTGCTTTGATGACATATAAGATTCATCCTAAAGTTATCGATGCCGTAGCAGATATTTACCAAGGCGACTCAACACTTATCAGCTTGAATGATGACACAACAGAAAAGTTGGACGTGACAAGCGGAATCCGACAAGGGTGTACCGGCTCCACAGCCTTATTCAAGATTGTCACACATATAATCACCAGAGAAATACAAAAGACAACTCTTGGTTTCAGAAACGAGAAGTTTTACATTCCAATACTGTTCTTTGCGGATGATGGATTGATACTGGCAGCTTCACTGCAAGAAACACAGCTACTGATAAAAGTTTTAAATGAAGTGAGTAAGAAGTGTGGTCTAGATATAAACAAAGACAAAAGTGCTGTATTGATATTTAACTGTAAAGAACAGCCGGAGGAAGTAGAAGGAATACCCACGGCAGACAAGTTGAAGTATCTTGGTGTGAAGATCGGAAATCAGAGGAATATGTTCAAAGAGCAGAAAAGGCAGATGATACAAAAAGCTCAAAGAATGGCAAATATGACGTATGGGGTGGTCGCAAGAAGTTGCAACAAACTGCTGATAGGGAAAACCTTCTGGAAGAGCCTTGCTCTGCCATCCATATTATATGGTGTCAATATATTCCACGTAACAGAAGAAGAGGTCAAGAAGCTGGAAGTTATAGAAAACGGAGTATATCGGCAGATACTTGGTGCACCGAAATACACAGCCAACTGTGCCCTCCGAGGTGAAATTGGAGCTTCGGCGATGAAAACAAGAGTAATCAAAGGACATCTACAGTATGTTAGAAGCACTCTACAGGGAAATAACCAACTATTGAAGGAAGTGATAGAAACTCAATTAGAAGAAAAGGGTACGAAATGGGCGAGGATGATTATCACACACTTAGAAACCCTAAATCTAAACCAAGGCGACCTTAGAAACATGAAGAAAGAAGAACTAAATAAGAAGATGATTAGTTGGGACGATAAAAGATGGAAAGAGGAAGTAGAGACTAAAACAAGTTTGAAGGTATACAAGAGATGGAAGCTGAAGATAAAAGAGGATGATGTTTATGACAACACCCCGCAATCAAGAATCCTCTTTCAAGCGAGGACGGATACTCTCCCTCTGAACGCAAGGAAGAAGTTTACAAAAGAAAGAACGAACTGTGCCTTGTGTGAAGCGGAAAATGAAGATATTAATCATTTCTTGCTAGAATGTCCAATATTAAATGAAGTTAGGGTGAATCATCGTGAATTACAACAGCCATACTTGGAAGACAAAGAAGAAGTTATAATGAGATTTCTATTTGATAAGGAAAGAAGGAATATGGAAGAAAAGAAACAGATTTTGTACAGCATGTGGACCCTAAGAACTAAAAGGCAAAAAGAGCTCAATACTTGTTAAGCACCCCGTACCAACTCATAGCGCGATAGTTTAAGTTAAAGTTTAAAAAGAAAAGGAGGAGCCGTTGCAAAGGCAATTCCTCAAAACCGTCAAGTTCAAGTTCTAGTACTTGATTATTCAACTAGAGTTGGACTATATAAGCTAGGTTTTTACATAAAAAATAAGTATTTGCTTATTGAATTTATAGCAACTGGTCGCTTAGCTTCGAAATAATGATTTATTACAGAAAAAGCTTGTTTGCGACATATTTGTAAAGAAACAGCGGAAATAGCTTTGACTCGTGCGCTATTCTAGTACATTTTTGGTAGAAAACTTCGTCCAACCTTATGTTTTAGGGCCTTGCGTATAACCTTTGCTAATTTTGAAGATATTCGGCTAAAACTTGCTAGAATAGGCATGGGCATGTGTTCTATCACATATATTCCGTTTTTCCGAAATGTCAAAAACATTTGGAAAAAAAAGATGGAAATATACTCTTAAAATTTCATAAAACTTGTATTCGAAATTTTCAGATTTTTTTAAAATCCCAGGTCGCAATTTGATAGTGCAGTTTATTCTGAGTCCTCTCATGCAAAGAAATTGGATCTAGCCTTAAGCCTAAGAACCGAGCTCTTGAGAGCGATTGCTGTGGTTCCATGTTTTGCGTCGAAATCGGCCGAACACGGAACATGACGTCACTCTGACGTCATTTCCGGCCGACCTATGGTAGCTACGAAGTTCATATTTTTACACAAGGTGGTATAAAATTGATGCAGCCGAGCATACTGAAAGTTTGGCGTTGATACGTCAAGCGGTTTAGAGGTTACCTATTGCAAAAAAAAAAACGCGAGGGGG